TACGAGCGATCTATCTAAACAGTATTGTGAATGATTTTAACGTTCGATGTGACCCGTTATTTTTTGCGGCCCAGTATGTATACAATTGTTTTATTAAGTATAAAAAGAGGTATAAAATAGGTTTTTTCATAACAAATAAATATATTTATATTTTTTCAGAGCGTAAGAATGCATTTTAACTTAAGCAAAGTCACATTTCCCTACTAATATAAAAAATGATATCCACCATCAATTTGTCACGTCATAATTCATAATCATAATCCCTTTGTTGAATGGAAATGTAAAATAACACTAATAAATCATATCTAGCACACAATGCGTACGTACACGTCACGTATCAAATCCCTCGATTGGACGCTCTATAAATATCTAAATCCTTTCGCCACGGTTTTGGGCTTCCGAATCTGATACCGGTATTTCATTTAGCCGTGTTGTATGGCTTTAATAATAGACGGTTATTAAAATTATTCATCCTAGATCAGAGGTAACAAAACCTTGTAATCTGTAATAACTACCTCTTGCGGACGCTCCCAGAGACGGCAGTTACTGCCTATCTCACAACAAATTTGATTTTTGACACATGTTCATTTCAAATGGACGAATTAAATGTTTATGAAATGCTTTTCGAAATCCCTACGTACTGCCAAAAGTGATCCAACATATAGTAGGTATAAATCACTTTAAAAAAATGTGGGGACACGGCGAATTACTTTGCATTTTGTAACTTAATAATATTGGTATCTACCAATATAGTATATTGATAGTTACAACAGTTGATTTTTTTTTTTTTCTTTTAAAACATTGCCCTCACTTTAGGATAACATTATCCTGTGTTGTAAGGACGTTTTACAAACATAAATTGCTCGAGGACAAACACCCAGATGCGAAACAACTATCTGTGTGTCGCACAAATAGTTGTTCCGTGTGGAAATCGAACCCACGACCCTCGACGCCGAAGGCAAAATACCTTGGCAACTGCGTCACGGAGTCATCCTATCTATCATATCTATCAAAACTTCTTTTTTTCAAATGCGTTCGGTTTTTGTTTCAATTTGATCAAATTGAATATAAATTGCGACGAATTGAATGGTATTATACATTTATAATTTAATCGAAAAAATATCAAAGTATTCCTAAATATAAATCGGTATTAGAAATAATGAAAGAGATGAAATGTTATAATATTTAATGGGAAGCTCATTTTTAAATAACATGAATCAAATCAATTATAGGTCTGTACCTAAAAAAATGTTTACTCTGTAGTGAACACCAACAATATTTATGAATTTTCTCTATTAATTACATCGTAAAACTGAAATAAACTAAAGCTGTCTTTTATCCAATCTATCTAACCACTATTTGGGTCCTGTTTCATCCATAAGTAGGCCTTTCATATATCAAAGAACGATCTAATCCTTTCTGGAAATGGGAACCAAGGCTCTTGGCTCAGTGGCCACTTTACCCACGACCCCATCGTCCGATATCGCTTTTGTTAATGCGAAAGTGAATTGGGGATACGTTACACACGGGCATATTTTATTCTTCCATAAACGATTTAAAGACAAGCTTGAAGACGTTAAAAGTACATTAACTCGCAGAAAACGGCGGAAACATCCGAACCTTTTGAGACAAAGCGAAAAACAAAAGTTGAGATTCCTTTAAAACAATTTTTCTTCGTTATTGAATTAATTAAATGTGAGCGTACACTAATTATTCTGATAAAGCTAATTACGGTAAAATTTACTTAGTTACGACGCAGCCAGTGGTTTTTCTTTTTTTTTCTTAATAAAAAGGCAAATACAATATAACCGTACCACAGATTAGTAATTTAATTATAGCGCTGCGCTCTGCTTGCCTAATATAAAAATGCAAGAATGAGAGTCATTATTCAGCCTTAAACGGTTACTTGATCAGATACACGTGTTTCGTTAAATCTACATAATGAGAAATACAACAGATATTTATCAGGAAGGGAAAAAATAAACGTTTAAGGTGAGTAAATTGAATCAGACATAAACATAATGTAGCACTGTCGTTTCTAACACTTCGATAGAGAACATCAAATTGATATTATTGATTGAAGATCAAGCAAGACGTCTAAATGTTAAGTTTACAAACTTATAAAACACAAGAAGGAAGAAGAATTAAATATGAAAATTATTAAAGCTACTAAACTACGAAAGCTACTCTCAGCTGTTGTTAAAAGTTGGCGACATTATTTAGACCGACAACGATTGACATTGAAAAGCAATAAATGAGGTATTATGGAATATTAAGGGCTTCACTCGCTTGTATACATACATAGAATTGCCAACTTGGTGGAGCTGTTGCTAAGTTATTGGCACCGGGAGTCGTGGGTTCGATTCCGATACAGAGCAAGTGTGACCCAAACATCTGGATCTGGGTGTTTATTCACAAGGGGCTAACGTCAGGCAGGCGACTAGTGGTAAAATACCTAGCCGTCAGATAAGACCTACAATATGATACCTCTTCTGTGGTCAACTTCACCTAGGTGTATAAAGACCGGAGTAAGAAGAAGATTCGCATAGGTAGAATTAATGTAATTACATTATGGTTTGTTGTACACAGAAAGTATTTCAATCCTAAAATACATCTGGGCATAGAGTAGTGAGGTCAAATTTTATATATTCATTTTGTGATTACATTATTGATTTCTATACGTAATTTTTTCTTGTTTAATTACCTTTAAATTTTTCGTCAAAGAAGACGTTGTTTAAAGAAAATTAACGAACAAAATGTAGCTCGCAAGAGAATTTTTGTAAATTGATCGCATATTAAGGAAGAGATGATTCAAAATTACACAAAGGAACAATTCATTTCGCGTTATTATGAAAAAAGGCAATGCGATGAGCGCCAAGGCAGTTTTTGCGACGCTACTTTAAAACGAAGCGAAACATTAAAACGAAGTGAAATTGACGTCGAAATCCTAATTTAAAAAGCGCTTCGGCTAAATAATTAGGCGGATTTCAGAGCACCTCTTAAACTGTCAGCCGTCATCTACAGCGTTACGTTGACGCTGCGCGAATGCGAAAATTGCCTCTTTACTTCGTACAGGTATTAAGCTGTCAAATTAAAAATCCTTTCGCAACTCTTTGTCATAATGGTTGGGACAAATAAATAAATAAAATATCTTGAACGATCTACAGACAAAAAATAATAATTAGCTGGACGACCAATTGCAACGAAGCCGAAAAATTGTAATAAATACAACAAGTTATCAAAAATACTATGAGAATAATTGAATTGTATGAAGGAATTATACGATTGCAAATTATACAAAAGTTCTTATTAAAGCTCATTCAAATTATAAAAGCTTATTTTTTAAACATATTCGCATGCCATTTTGAAAATTAACAAAATAATGCAACTTTACGTTATTCAAAATTGTACGTTGATGTAAACTGTTTCCACATCACTTTTTTTAATGTTATGAAGATAAAGTATTGTGCATTAAGGACCCAAACTAACACAACAACATATCAATATATAACTCCAGTGGCGAACAATGCAGTACGTGACTCGAAACCACTCGACCGATTAAGATAAGGAAGTCTGCTGACACCCTTTGTTAATGCGAGGGCTTTCCTGGCCTCTCAAGTAGAGCGGTGCTTAGCAGCGACCCCTCATACTTGATAGAATTTTGCACGCAACATTACTTTAACGTGTGTACAAAGTTTTAGGAATCGGGGTTACTTCGGGCGAATTCACGTGCGACTGCTCCGAGCATGGCTCGACTGTTGAAGTTGCTGACGTGATGACGAAATTATTATTTGTAACAAAAACTAAATATAAATATGTCGCATCTTGGCCATGAGTACGGTTGCTTTATCAGTCATGATTGCCTCTCCATCATGCTATACAAGCTGGTGTTTACCAATGGGCAAGACAAGCTCTGCCACGGTTGCCAGTTGCTTACTCGTTAGGGGCCTGCATTATTTCTTCTTCCTCTAATTAATTCAGTTGAAATAAAAGAGTAATTTAGTTTAAATCGTGTGGTAAAGTGTTATTTCGATAATTTAAATTAGTAGTGTATTTCACCTCGACACCGACAAATACGAGTATATCCATAAGAGTATAAACCAAAATTCTAAGTGCCATTATGATGAAATCCTCATATTTTGAATACATTGCAAATATTTCAAGCAATTGCAGGTGCACCTGATGATAAATAAGTAGCAATGCCCTAGATTAAAAATATTCCCTATATTCCTTTGCTATACACTTAATGAAAGACGTAGCAAAATACATAGTTAGAGCGCTGGTAGAGATTAATTGATGTTATTCTGATCGAGCCTCTCAAAACGCAACCATTAAAAAATCGAGATTACACACCCTGCGCATGTACTCACGGTTAGTTATGTTGTAATCAGATTAAGGTCACCAAAGAACCTTTCCATTGAGTCTAAAGCCTCATATTGGTATTTAGGAACACCCACCCCAATATGGCAGCAGTACTCACATTACCGGAGTCTTCTTGTAACCTTATATAAAATAAGGTAAGTAGCTATCCCAGTGTAAAGTGCTACCGTACTCTAACAAGGATACCTAAAATTTTTGCAGGTGCTTTGGCCTTAGAATAATGGACCGCTTAAAATTGAGGTTTGAGGAAATCTCTACTCCAAACGACTGAAGAGAGTTGGCACTGACCACCAGAATACTTTAACAACTTTTATGTCGATATGTAGCAATCAGTCAAAATTGCTCACGAGCAAAGATGAAAAACGTCTTAGATTTACCAATTTTTGTGGTAGCCACGCAGCAGTCGTAAGTACCACGACCTCACAGAAGACCGGCGTGAAGTGAGAGTATAACTACTTTCGCGTTTCGTCTGGTGAGCCCATTTTTCAAAAGGTTGTCAACACATGCCATGGGCGGCGCTATTCACTTTACATCAGGTGAGACCCAGCTCGCTTGGTAACTTTTCACATAAAAAAAAAGTTTGAACGCGTTGGGCGGTTAAAGTACTTAAAATCCTGTCAACCAATTGGCTTACCAGATATTCGTTTAATGTGTAGCTGTGTTGCGAAGTTGTTGCCCATCTGCGAGACATAGCTGTCTTTCTTGCTGGACAGCTGGACGCTGAACCCGTCGGACTCCAATGAGGCCCTGGGCGCCCTCGCAGCCTGGACCGCCTTGTTTTGGCACACCGGCGTGGGCGCCACCTTGGCCAAGGCGGCCTCCTGCGAGCCGGCGCTGTCGCGGCGGCGGCTTTTGTGGTCCAGCAGCATGCTCGGAGTGCAACCCATTTTGTCACATTGGCACTACACTTTGGCACTAGCACTGAACTGTACGACCATCGTTCGAGGATCTGAAACGAAGGAAATGCAGCATTGAGTAGTGGTAATAAAGCAGAACTGACTGTGCGTGACGTTGCGTGACCGCGACCTCGTCCCATTCACCCTGATGAAGAACCCCCGATAGGTCCTTGGATTGAACGCGAGTTCAGTCGTTTTGTTGTTCCCTCAACAACAATTAGTAATGACTTACGATTTTTTTAATATTTTTATAGCATTGAATAATGTTGCACATTTAGCAGTGACATTTTGCGAGGTGTTATAAAGATGATAGAGTATTACGTAAACATCATTTGGATATAAGGTAAGTTCTTTGTTTATTAATCTTGCAAACGCTTGGTACTCTTCAGGCGTATAGATTATTTCCGTGAACATATACAATAACCATTATACAATAAGCGTTGGCGCTTTTTGTAAGGATAAGGAGTGAAACAACAGGGGCCCTCTGTTGTTTCACTCGTACTTCTTACTTACCCAGTCTGATATATTATTATAGGTACGTTATACATATACTACATTTGTCAATTTTTAGGCTTGACTACATGATTCATGGTCATGTTATAAAATAATTAGCTAAATGGAGATGGGTATATACATCAGAAGACAAGAGTATTAAATGTACATTTTCTCCAAAATTTAACGACAATTTAACAAAAAATACTGGTAGAACAACGACACGCCCATACGAAATAAAAATAAATTCAGCATAAAAATCTATAGTTCGCTAAATATACATATTAATCTTCGTGACATCATCATTCTATTCATAAAATATTTTCAATAAATTTTTATATATTATTTAAATTGGGCAGAACATGCAACGTCGGAAAGCTTGCTTTGTTTCCGCTTCTTGGAAAAATTCTAGTAGAATTTGTAACACAAGTTAGTCTCGGACTTTTAAAAATTTGTTTCGCTTTGCACAGATGTGTGACGAGCAGTGAATGTCTTCTAATAATAGACATAAAATTCTAGTGTGTAATACACCGTGTATTAGAAATTTTGTTATATATTTAGAATATTTATGTACCACTGAATGATTCGGTAAGTAACATGTAGATTTTGGTGCTAATAAATAGTCACCAATGGTGTACAATAAACTAGCGATTACTTTCGGTTCCGCCCGTGTGGTCCTTTTGCGGTGAAAACAGTTGATGTTTCCACACATGTCCTTGATGAATTCACTATTTCATTAAATCCGTCTAACTATTGCAGTGACCGGGGTTTATAGAGACTACAGAGAAACTTTGTGTTAATAACATGAATATAACAAGAGCACTTTAAACAGATTTGCTACATGTTATTAGCAATGGCAGACTTCTCGATGACCACAATTTAAAGCAGTTTTTATCACTACATAGTATAAAACAAAGTCGTCCCACTGTCTGTCTGTCCCTACTGTGTATGCTTAGATCTTTAAAAATACGCGACGGATCTTGATGCGGTTTACGGGATAGAGTGATTGAAGAGGAAGGTTTATATGTATAATACATTGCGCCCGTGCGAAGCGGGGGCATGTCGCTAGTTAGTTAATAAGGCTTGTATCAGTCAACCTTTGATGTGAGATATACGTAAATCAGTGGTAGGACCACAGGTGAGCCCGGGGAACCACGGCCTCACAGAAGAACGAAGTGGGAGTATGCTACTTTCTTGTCTCGTCTGGCGAGTGAGGTGACCGGGGCCCAATTATTTTAAAGGTTGTCGGCGCATCTGCAAGGCCTCATGTTTTGTAGATGTCCACGGACGTCGGTAATCACTTAACGTCAGGTGAACCGTCTGCTCGCTCGACAACTTTTCACATAAAAAAACTAGCTACAGAATTATTATAAAGTAATTTAAATACGTCATATTTTCGTTTTAATTTCTAAACTAATAAAGTCCGAGTCAAGAGGTCCTACATTACAAAACCCAATATGAAACGCGATAAAATCCCTAAAATTGATTTTTTCTAACAATAGTGTGGCATTCGCCTAAATACAACATCATTATGATATGTCCGCTATTTTCCGGAAATGGCAACAAATGAATCAACCTAACAACAAAGTTTTTAAAGTTAAATTAAATCAATTTATATTATAGGTAAATTGGCAAAATTCGCCCAGCGAGTTCTAACAGAAGACGAATATTGCTTAATTGCTGCATGAAAGTAGACTGCACAGCGATTGCAGACTCCCGACGATTCGCGCACATTTTAAAGATTTGACAAAACGGTTCTTCGATAGAGTCCAGCATCATCCCAACCCTCTGGTGTTAAGCGCAGCAAACTACCAACCGGACACTAACGCGAACGTAAACAAGCGTCGCCCGCGAAACGTCCTCATCGACCCGGTCGACGAAGAGGACTTAGATACGATGGACCCACCGCCGGGGGTCCCGCCGGATAACACTACACCCACAGTTAGTGTAACAACAATCACACCAGTTCGCCCTCGCCTCCGAGCACGGCGAGACCCACACAACGCGTACACAAGGTACACCCGCGTTCCGGGGCGGTTTTCACCGCTACCAGCCACCGATTAGCTAAATGCACAGTCGACGGCCGTCGGGGTCTCGGTCCGAACCAGGGCCGTGCCTGGGTATATGGCCGCCTGCGTGCCAGTCTGCATGGCCGCCCCCAGGATAACATTAAAAAAAACTACTTTAATTTTTAATGTTTATTATTTTACACAGGGCATCAAACCGGGAAAAAAATCAGTTTTTGGTTAACCGAAATCGAGAACGAAAAAAAAATATTAAAAAATAAAATAATAAAATAATTGCACTATTTTATTATTTATTTTAATTATTATTTAATTTTTTTTTTAATTTTTTTTAATATATTATTAAATATTTTTTAATATTTATTTAAGAATTTCATATCAAAAGGCCTTTTCCCTCCAAAAAGACCCGCCAAAATTTCCCGGGCCCAAAAAGTGAAAGTCTACCCAAATTTTACATTTTTTGTGTATTACCTTTTTCAGTCTTTGTCGAGTAAATAAACTTTTTATTAAATTTCACCACACGAACACACAACTAAAAGTTTTCAGGAATTAAGCAATTTATTTTTATTCGTTAAATTAAAGAATTTAATAATATCGGATCACACACAGGACACAAATAACGATTTATCATCGCTAGTCTATAGACTAATACGACTAATAAGACGAATAAGACCGCTTACGCGACGCCGGTCAATTGAAAAAACTATTTCGGCTCGTCGCTCGTGCAATGTTCGAAAAAATTCGGATTCGCTGCATGACTAGGTATATAAATACTACAACGACCTAATCAGTTTTTATACATTTCTTATTTCTGAGAAACTCTTTTTAGATAGATTAGATTAGAGAAACTGTTTTTACTTCGTATCTTAATGAAAACAAACCGATTGTATTTTTGCCCAGTAAACAACTTGTAACGATTTGGCCGCCTCTTAATTTCGGCCGCCTGCGTGCGGTGCACGCAATGAACGCCCGTCAGGCACGGCCCTGGTCCGAACCGCGACCTCGACGGCCCTTAGATGACACACCATAATTAAACGCACGCATGAGCACATGCGCGACCCTACCCATAGCGGAGGGTCCAAACCCGTGGGTTCTGGCTAGCCCACCGGTTCTGCGTCCGATGAAGCTTTAATAGTCTCGGGACTGAAAGCAAAAACATCAGTTAATACAAGATACAAGATACATGAAAGTAGTAAATTACTCTCTGAAAAGTTCTCTGTTTACCAAAGAAAGCTCAATGTTTACGACTTTTGAATTTAAGGCCTAACAAGCACCCATAAATATCATCAACCAAAAAAATATAAAGGTAATCTTAAATTGTGCAAGCATTTTTATTGCACAATTTACGATATAACACAAAATAAAGTAACTATTAAAAAAAACTTTAAAAGAAGCGCTTGTCGGAAAATATTTTACGTGAAGATTGTCATTACCCATCACGTAATTTCCTATTTCTTAATATTTCATTGCAAACTTTACCATAAAATTTGTTTTTATTAAGAAAGTTTTTAAAAGTAAAAAGCTATTATTCCGTCCCATACCGCAATTTATAAAGAAACAAAAAAAAAGAACTCGTTCTCGTCTGAAATACCCATCAACGTGGATTTCATGTTTGTGGAAAACTTTGCGAGGAACACGAAGAACTTTCGAGATTTAGTGCTGGCCACAGTCCCTTCCTACTTTGCTATTCAACTTCTCTTTTCCTTTGTATCGGTAACAATTTTGGACATAACCTACACACAATGCCTAATCGCGCTTTTTTCGGGATTGTCTTTATTAAATTCGACGGTAACAAGATTTCTGAATATCATTTTCTAAAAATAAATAACACACTTCTTTTTCCACTTATTTCACTTTTTGAAATGTAATAACATTTCTAAAACCGACCTAGCATTTCTCTATGCAATTGAGTGCCTACTTTGGATATGCTAAAAACGGTTGGAATTATATTCTTTTGAAAAATAACAGCTTTATAATAACGCACGATTGACGTGGAATTTCACATTGAGTGGCGTCTAGACATTTTTTTTAACTTCTTTAAATGCTTTTAGAGTACCCACCGCGATAAGATTGCATAATAATTTGCAGACGTCGGCTACGATTATTGAATTTCAAGCTTAGCCAACTGACTATAAACGTAGTGTTGCACATGAACAGGAAAATGATTAACTATGGACGTTTGAATATGAATCGCGTGCTTTCATCTCGTAATGTATTCCGTTATTAACCAAACTCGAACACAAGAAAAATGAGTCATTTTACAATCATTCCATCTCTTCGTGCTTTAAACGAAAATTTTCATAAAATGGCGAACGTATCTCTCAGAAAACTGTCGTATCGTTTACCAATTCTCGGAAACAGATAAAAAGAAGCTGTGTATTATGTATTATGTTTAGAATATGTTAATGTTAGAGCATGTATTTAAGATGTTTTATTATAACGGTAGCAGGGCCACGCAGCAGCCTCGGCTGTTGC